AGGGCAGTTTAACAGTGACATGCTGAACTGATACTTGTCAGTGGCATTAGCAGCACTTGTTCAGTCCTGCCCCGCCTGGTTGAAAATGAAGTGGATGCACAAACTGCAGGCATGCCGGCCAACCCTGTCAACCCTGGCCCTGCCTGGACATGGAAGCTTTTCTGGGGAGGGGGCACTTGAAAAGTCACTGATTCAGTGCAGGGAGGGGCCACTTGTTCAGTGGCATTAGCAGAACTTGTTCAGTGCTGCCCCGCCTTGATGTTTGGGCCTTCAGAATGAAGTGGATGTACTGCAAACTGCAGGCCTGCAGGCCTGCGCCTTGTCAAATCTTGCCCAAGGGGCGCTTCAAGAACATGGGAGCAACGCACTAGGGGGAATTCAACATGAACAGCGCCATGCTGCACTGATTCAGTGCAAAATTCAGTGCAGGGAGGGGCCACTTGTCGTTCAGTGGAATTAAAACTGTTCAGTGCTGCCTGCCCCGCCTGGTTGGTTGGGCCTTGACTGAAGTGGCAAACTGCAGGCCTGCAGGCCTGCGCCCTGTCAAATCCTGCCCCTGGATCTTGGGGGGGCAAACAGTGTGAAACCAGATGGCGGTAGCAACACAGGGGGGAGGGGGCATGTGCCATGCTGCAGCGTTTAGTGCACGAAGGGGCCACTTGTTCAGTGGCATTAGCAGCACTTGTGCAGTGCTGCCCGTCTGGTTGAAAATGAAGTGGATGCACAAACTGCAGGCATGCCGGCCTGAACCCTGTTAAACCCTGCCCTGCCTGTGGGATCCTTCAAGGAGGGGGCACTTGAAAAGTGCGTGCAGGGAGGGGCCACTTGTTCAGTGGAATTAGCAGCACTTGTTCAGTGCTGCCCCACCCCAGAGGGCGGTAGCAACAGTTTAGCAGTGACATGGTGCATTGATTTAGCGCAGGAAGGGGCCACTATTGTTCAGTGGCATTTGCAGCACTTGTTCAGCCCTGCCCCGCCTGGTTGAAAAAATGAAGTGGATGTACAAACTGCAGGCATGCAGGCCATTCTGAGTCAACCCCTGCCCTGCCTGTGGGATCCTGCAAGGACATGGGAGCTTTTCTGGGGATGGGGGCACTTGAGTAGCGCCTGCATTGATTCAGCGCAGGGAGGGACCACTTGTTCAGTTGGCAGCACTTGTTCAGTGCTGCCTGCCCCGCCTGGTTGGTTGGGCCTTGAGACTGAAGTGACAGTAAATGTACTGAGGCAAACTGCAGGCCTGCAGGCCTGTGCCCTGTCAAATCCTGCCCATGGGAATCTGGGGCGGGCAAACAGCATGAAACCAGAGGGCGGTAGTACCACAAAAAGGGGGCACTTGAACAGTGCCACGCTGATTCAGTGCATCAAGGGGCCACTTGTTCAGTGGCAATTAGCAGCACTTGTCCAGTGCTGCCCCACCTGGTTGGTTGGATGTTGAGAACGGGTCTTGAGAATGAAGTGGATGTACTGGCAAAATGCAGGCCTGCGTCCTTTCAAAGCCTGCCCATGGAATCAAAAAGTAAAGGCAAACAGCATGAGAGCAACATAGGGAGGGGGCAGTTGCAGAGAGCCACACTGCACTGATTCAGTGCAGTGAGGGGCCACTTGTTCGGTGGCATTAGCAGCACTTGTTCAGTGCTGCCCAGCCTTGATGTTTGGGCCTGCAGCTTTGAGTTGACGCAGGCCTGCAGGCCTGCACCCTTTCAGATCCAATCTGAAAGGCAAAAAAACAGAGCAACAAAGAAGGATGGCTGAACTTGCCACACTGCACTGGTTCTGTGCAGGGAGGGGCCACTTGTTCAGTGGCACTAGCAGCACTTGTTCAGTGCTGCCCTGCCTTGATGTTTGGGCCTGCAGCTTTGAGTTGATGCAGGCCTGCAGGCCTGCACCCTTTCAGACCCTGCCCATGGGAATCTGAAAGGCAAAAAACAGAGCAACAAAGGGAGAAGGCTGACTTGCCACACTGCACTACACTTCTGTGCAGGGATGGGCCACTTGTTCAGTGGCACTAGCAGCACTTGCTCAGTGCTGCCCCACCTTGATGTTTGGGCCTGCAGCTTTGAGTTGATGCAGGCCTGCAGGCCTGCACCCTTTCAGATCCTGCCCATGGAAAATCATGGAAATCTGAAAGGCAAAAAACACCGAGCCACAGAGGGGGAAGGCTGAACTTGCCACACTGCACTGGTTCTGTGCAGGGAGGGGCCACTTGTTCAGTGGCACTAGCAGCACTTGTTCAGTGCTGCCCCGCCTTGATGTTTGGGCCTGCAGCTTTGAGTTGATGCAGGCCTGCAGGCCTGTACCCTTTCAGGTCCTGCCCATGGAAAATCATGGAAATCTGAAAGGCATAAAAAAACAGAGCAACAGAGGGGGAAGGCTGAACTTGCCACACTGCACTGGTTCTGTGCAGGGAGGGGCCACTTGTTCAGTGGCACTAGCAGCACTTGTTCAGTGCTGCCCCGCCTTCATGTTTGGGCCTTCAGCATGGAGTCGGTGTAGATGATGCTAGCAGGTACCCTCACCCAGATTGCCCGCACATTTGCTACCCATGCCATATCCACAGCACATCCACACCAGCAATTTTTTGTATTTAAGATTGCTGCTCTGTGTATTTAAGTTAGCTTTTGGACACTTTTTGTCCAGTAAGAATTAAGCATCTCAGAAACCACTCTTGCGCTGTCCTGGCTCCGGATACACAGCCGGAGCAAAAGCTGGTGAGCCAGACATGTAAGCGTTGAACTGAGGACAGCAAGGAGCCTCGGCCCCCGACCCCATGTCGCGCTCCCTGCTCCAGCTGCCTCCAGTCCGCCTGAAGCGAGCCTGGAAGCTGCTGGGTCCCAGTCAAATCCCCCCCCCTTCGCTCCGGTCAAATCCCTCTAGAAACCGGCCCTCTAAAACGGCCATCTGGACCAGTCAAATCCCCTCTAAAGCCCGCCCAAATCCTGCTAGAAACCGGTCAAATTCCCCCTCTCAAAGCCGGTCCAACTCCGGTCAATTCCCTTATAAACTGCGCACGTTCCCCTCCAGAAACCGATCACATCCCCACTAAAAATAATGTAGGAACCGATCAAACTCCCCTCTAAAAACCTGTCACATCCGCAAAATTCCCCGCCAGAAACCAGTCAAATTCCCAACAAATTTGCACCTTCGCTTGGCCCAAGCTGACTGTTCTGTAGCTCTGGCTCTCCTTCTGGCCCTTGAAGCCATGTGGAAGCACGCAGACATGCACCCACCCTCTACCTTGGAAACCAGCTCACGCATTTCGGCCCCGACTCACTCAGTCTAAACGCAAGACTTCAAGGCGAACTAAAGCACAGTGTATACCTCAAAGCCAGCCAAGAGCGGACTGGCCGAGGCGGGCAACGCGAAGCGTGTACAATTAACCCTGTGCACTTAACACTAGACGTGCTAAGTGCACAAGATTTCCTGCTGATTGGTGTTTCAAATGCGTCATCTTCTGCAACTGCAATGGGCCAGCGATGCCAATGCAATCCAAGATGCGTACTCAACTCCTTCTGAGGTGTTGCAAGCGACCAAAGCATCAAAGTCGTCGCAAATCACCTCATATAACAAGTTGTTGAGAGCAGGAACCATTAAGATGTCCTCTGTGCCCATTCACAGAAGCCTAAAGTAGCTTGCGCATTCTATCGTAGGGTGGTATTAGGCAATCTTGGTGCTGCAATTCCACGTCGGCTTGCAATAAGCCTACCCTTGCCCACTGCAATAGCCCACGCGCCTCGACCTCCAAAACGTCAAAAGATGTCTTATCCCAGTCCTCAAGCTCGGAGGTCAATGCACGTCTGAAACTCAAAGCAAAGTGCACAGCCTGCGTGCCAGGAAGAAAAATGTGTCAATGATACGCTGAACAACAAGGCCATGCAGTGCACATGCTGGCTTGCACTTGACTTCAGCCATGACAATCCTTCTGGGAATTCTGATGGAGAAGATCGACTGCCGCCCGACTATGTTGATGATGGCTTACGACGCATCAGCTTAAAAGCAAGCTAAGCCAATCACTCTTAAGTGGACCGTGGACGGATAAAGCAAAGCATGGCAGCAAAGTAAATACAACGACTTGTCTCAAGTGCAATGGCAAAGGAAGCACAGTGGTGAAACTCATGCGGAGAAAAGGTTGAACGTCCTCTTTGACGGGTATTGGTGCAAGCGAAGGAACCTTTCCTATCAACAAATCCCACTGTCGCTGACAGCGCCAGGGGAAATCTTGGGCAAAGCGGCTTTCTGTGGCTGCACGCTCTTCACAGCGCAGCTCCCAGCATTCCTCCATGCCATGAGGGTTCTCTCTCACACAAAGGACCTGTCACTAGCAAACCCGTCTAACTGGTCAACACAGCACAACCAACATGTTGAATTTGCTGTGCTTTGCATCCAGCCGCCTGAAGGCAATGTCCTCCTTTGGGTAGCAAACCACAACAATCGCCTGATCATCCTTAGATGCGAAAAGTGACCTGTTGCGAGGCTACTGAAGGTGACCGTGGCCCCTCAAGCGTTCCGCGTTTCGACGTCAAGCAGGGAGCTTCACATCGCTCGGATCTGGCTCTGAACCCATTGGCAATGTTAATCAACTCGGAAATATTCGCAGACCTTTGCTGCCAAGAGTCTGTGTTGTTTGAACTGTTACTCAGCTCCCAGTCGCCAGCCAAATCAGATACGTTTTCCTCGGAGGTGTTCTGCGCGGCCGTCCTTTGGCGCAGTGGATGCATGGGTATTTCTTTCGCTGCGTCACGGCAGTGGAAAGGATTCCGCCCAGATTTCATGCCGAGAGCAAGTCCTGAGCACCAGAACCCAGAAAGCCCATGGGCTTCGCATGGCTGTGCGCTCATGGCGAATCACACCCGAGGCATCGCACGGCGCAAGCCATCTTGACCGTTTTGATTCCAGTGGCCCTTCAGTGGATTTCTAGAATCCCTTCTACAGGCTTTCGCTTCTAAGGATGACAATTGGTTCTAAGCTACGCAGCGCTCAGGTGGAACGCCTGCTCCATCTCATGGATGCTCTCCCGTGTCAAATGAGCTTCAGAGAAAAAGGAGGATACATCGGAGCGACTGGTACAGTCAGAATTCAATGCATTGGCCTCCCACCTCAAGAACCTTCCTCTTTGATCATTCTCCTTTCAGTTGCCAAGGCTTTCACAGATTTAAGAGCCTAAATCCAGCCGAGTCAAGACATGGGGGCCTGGCCTTGAGCAAGAAGAAGAATTTCCTGAGGCTGGACCACCAGGCTATCCTCCCAAGCCCTTCCCGACATAAGGAGGTAGCTGATCAGAATGAGCTTTCGATTGTTCAATGTCAATAGTGGGTGGCACGGCTCCAACCATTGCAACTACTCTTTACTTGATATCTATTTTCATTTTAAGGTTCTTTGAAGAACATGAGAGGCCAGGCTCCGGGCTGCCATTGCCAGCACACCCCTGCCCCTGCTTGCTTCGGCTGCGTGCGCCGTTGCCTTGCCAAGCCGTGGGCTTAGGGTGACTCCGAGGTTCCCAAGATCAGCGGGCAAACTGGAGAACAACAATGCCTGGGTAAAATACACAGCCTCGAGAGTTGTGCAGCACAGTGCTGGGTAAAATCGTTCTCCTAGTGAAGGGGCGCAAATCCACGGGCGGATGTCAGATGTCTGCATGCCAAATGCGGATCACTCTGCACTCCGCTGAGTCCCCGGCAGTTCCAGGAAACCGAAGCGAGCCGTCTCCGCAGTAAGCAGCAAAGACTCTTTGCAGCGGGGTAGCAGCCTGAGACAGGCATCTTGAATCGCGCGGGGTCTAGGCCTCCAAAGGGGTTGTAAAACCTTGAAGACATGGCAAGATGAGGACATCAGGCATACTTGGCAAGCACCCAGAGATGGCCAACTTGGGAGCGCCTTCAGTTCCCGAGTATCAAAAGGCTCAAGGGGAAAAAGCCACGTCTTCGCCCGGCGCCAAACCATTCAGCACCCCTCACCCCCCGGGCAGCTTGGGACCCCCGGCGCGATGAGGTCGGCCTGGAGGAACGCGAGTGTGCCCTTGGCAGCCTCTCTCTCGTCGGAGAGGTCCAGCAGCGGGATGACCTCGGGCAGAGCGACAAAGAGAAAGAGAGACAAAGAGAAAGTAAGTGAGTAAGAGAAAGTAAGTGAGTAAGAGAAAGCCTTGCTTGTTTGACACATGTCCTGGTCAAGGAAGCATTTTGTGTTGCAGGAAAAATTAAGCTGATGTGATACTCTCTATCTCTGGCAGTATCTCAGTATCTTACTCATGGACGGCATTTCACTTCCAGGCCTCTAGGCGTATGAACGCTGGGCAGTTGGCTAGAAGCGGTGTATGTTTCTCTCTGCACCGGAGACTAGTCACGGCATCCGGAAGCCGTCTCGTGAATAGAGCTGAGACGCAGGCTGGATCTGGATCGACCACCACAAAATCCTTCGGCGCCTCATCCAAGTTGTCGTTTTCTCCCACGTGCCTGGAACAGCAAGCGTCACGCAATTGCACCAGCACAAGGTCACGATTGAAGAAGTTATTCCTGCTGTGTGCAGGCTTGGGACACTCACTAGTACTTGAGAAGAAGGTTCGCAAAAGCTAGCAGGGAGAAGGGCAGAGATGTGGGAAAATATCGGAAACAAGTGTGGAAGAGCCAGGATGAGAGCAAGAAGAAGAGCATCGAGAGGAGTTAGGAAGAGCATGGAGAAGAACATGGAAACGAGTAAAGAGAAGAAGAGAGGTTGTTGAACAAGAAAGAATGAAGCAGAGAAAAGTGGGGACAAGCAAGGGCAGCAAAGCTGAGAGACGAGTACAGGAAAAAAGTTGGGAGAAGAACTGGCAGACAAGCGGAGACAAGGGGGAGAAAAGCCGAAGAGTGGAAAAGAAACAGGCGAGTCAGACATGGAAGTCGGGATAATAATGCAGGGAATGAATAAGTGCTGCTTCATAGAATCACAGATTTTGTTTGTTTGACCACGACGTGTTCATGCTAAGCTATTGCCTACAAGTCCCGCCTGCCCGGCCACCCTGCCCTGACCTGAGAGCAAACAGCACAACGGAAGCAATCTCTTGTCAGTGAAGGCTGTGAAATGCCTGGCTGGCCTGGGTTGCAGACCATGGCTTGCCAAAGCTCCTGCTCGCTCAGGGCAAGGTCAGGAAAGGCGAAACATGTTTTCCTAAGTTGGTTCGGGACACCGTTTCTCTAGTGATGAAGCTTCTGCTTCAAAACGATCTGGTTCTCATGTCAGGTTCCGCGGTCAGCTCCCAGCCAGCCTCCAGAAATGCATCCCGCGATGGGAAGTTGAGCCTGAGAACGAACGGCAGCTCCACAGCCAAAGATGCAAACAGCTGGAGGCATGCGACTGTTCCTCCGTGCCTACGCTTCCCAAAACAGCCAACGGCCCATGATAGGCTCGCCGACTGTAACAGTACCAGTATCGCTGTTTCGGGTGGGAGCATAAAACATGTTAGTAGATGAAGGGTTTGCCGCGCAATGCAGCGAAGCTGGCGCTGTTCAAACTGCTCACGCCATGATACGCCATGACCATGTTCCCACACTGAGCTCTGGGATGGCATTCACTAGCGCTTGCGTCGCAAAGGGCACCTCTTGAACTGCGTCCACAACTGGCGGAAGGCTCTGCAACGCTGAACAAATGTGGAACTGCGCCCGTGGCCAAATTGTTTGCATTTCTGCCGCGCTCTGCGCATTTTGGGGTCTGGTCGTTCCTGCTAGAATGAGTTGTCCGAATTGCATTCGGAATGGGCAACATGCGAGCGCTCCCACAAGACAGGGCATTCACCATTGGCAAAAGTTTAGGGATCCTGTGACGAAGTTGAATACAAATGCTTGCCTTCATGTCCATGTCGCGCTAAGTTCGTCGCTCCGAATCCCAACTCCTAACATCACTGAGAATCCGCATGGATTGCTAAGCAGTAGATCTTGGATTTAGAGCCATGCCCTCGACCATTCGGGGCACCCTGCAACTCATCCGAGGCATCACGAAGCCGCAAAAGCAGCAGTGTGTCACTGCCTCAACAGCTCCAAAGGCAACGCCGGCCGCTCTCCAGAAAAGCTCTTCGAAAGGCACAACTGACGTGACTGACATCATTGTGGTCGTTTGCAGTTTGCAGCTATCTGCGAACATTTGCCGCTAATGTTTCCCCACTTTGCCTGGGCGGCCAGTGGTCCACGGTGGCCAGGTGAATAGAGTTTTCTGGAGTTGTCTTGCCTCTCTTTGTGTACTACTGAGAGCCTGGCGACGTGGCAAAATCAACTGCCGGATCACTGCGAGCGGCACACCTGCCACATTGGCCCCGGTCATCATCCTACATACTGCGAGTGGGAGCGGGCGCCACTTGTGCTTGTTCATAAACATGTCCAAAGAGTTGGCTCCGACTCCTGAGCTGTTTTGCCATGTCTGGCCTCCTACAACAACGGAACATGCAGATTGTTGCCCAGAACAAGGCCAAGCGACACTATCACATGGAGAGGGACGGATGAAGCTATTGACATACATAACCATCTGCGGCACGCTGCGGTCAAGTGTCACTCTCAGACTGTATGTTGTGAATATTTGCTCCTGAATGTCCAAGTCGCCATCCGGGACGCAACAAATTTCAAAAGTGCAATTAGTCAAGGCGCACTGTGAATCTGCAGGAGCGCACAAGAAAGTCGCTCTGCACAACCACGTGGTGAATACAACCCCTCTCCTCTGGCCAACACTGGCAAAGCCAATTAGCCTTTTGATGGCATTCTAAGGAGGGACCGATCTTGCAGCGTGCCTCGCCTTGTGCCACTGACCAGCCAGACGTGACTGCAGCACGACCTTGCCATAGACAAGGTATTCCTGCTCCCGTCAAAAATGGGTACGGAGAGAAAAGACATCGTACGTAGTTGCTTTGCTTCATGCACCCAAAGGTGACGGCGTCCACAAACTCGGGTTCCATGCTCAACTCCTTTCAGGACCGATGCTGCCACTAGCACCGAAAACGCCAGCAGTTGCTCTGGGAGGCTATTTCTTTTTTGGAGGGCGCCATACACACATACACATACAGGTATTGCTTTCCCCCTCCCTTAAGCAACAGCAACCCCCACCGTAATCAACGATGACGTCACCACCCTTCAGCGGGCCCTCAATCTGCTGCCCAGCGGCTAGTGCAGCGCCTCGGTGCGAGAAACACGACGGTACCCGGCCCTGCACATTGACCGTGGGGTGTTGTTGGAACAATCCCTCGGAAGGCCCCTCTTGGACCCCCTTGTTGCAAGTGCATTAGCATCCTTTTGAGAACATCAAACCCCTACCGGCTCGCAGGGGCGGACTCCTGTTCAACACCTCCAAAAAGTGATGTTCTCTTGGTCTCCTGATTAAAAAGAAAAACAGGGTCACGGCTCACATCTTCCTTCCGAAGAAACTGAGACTTTAGCAAGTTGTTTCTCCATGGCGCTGACTGCTGGGGCGTATCAAGGATCCTGTGGGCGTTTGGGGAGACATGCGAATGAGACCCATGCGCTTGCATCTGCATGAATGCCACCACTACCGGGTTGAGCGCATAAGGAAGATGATGATTTCTAAAACTCCCTCGTTCTTTTCAACCGTGCGGCAGGAAGATCAGCCGCTCAGAAGTCAATACCAGCGCCTCCCAGGAATGTGCTATCTGCTACGGGATTGCTTGATACCTTGGATTGCCCAGAAATCAACTCCGAATTCCGTGATGTGTTATTGCTATTCTGCGCCAGTTGCCTGCGCCTGCATTCATGACATAAGAGAAAGGCGGCTCAACAGATGCAACACAACTGTGTTTGAAGGCTCTCGATTTAAGTCTCTCAAATCTCGAGTGGTGCTTCCCCGCATTGACGGCCTGCGTATTGCGCTGCGCGTTGGTGGGATCACACGAGGGTGGCTCATCCTGGCAACCGCAGTGCTCAAGCAATCGGGACTCAGCAAAAGATCGTCAGCTCAGTCAAAGGCTCTGTGCGAATCTCAGGCTCGCGAGGCAAGGCCAAACATGCCAGCGAGACAGTGGAGACAGCGTGCTCCAAGCCAGCGTGGGTGAAATTGGTCACCTCGGCTGTGCAAAGAACTGCCGCTCTTTCTCTGTGAGCTCCATTATGCTGCCCTCTCAGGAGTACAAGTTTGCGGCTTTCATGGCTAGGAGCATTGGAGGCAAGTGCATGTATGCGAAAGCATCAAAGACTCAAAGACCGAAACACGCTTCAAAGCAAATCTGACGCAAACGTATGCATGCTGATGGCCAGTAACTGCCACTAACAAACCAGTGCCGAAAACAAACAGCTAAGTCTACTCTGAAGCTGCTCCTTAGGTTTCAATCAAGCCGCACAGCACGTGTATAATTTAATGGCGAATCTGCAGCACTCCACCGCATGCAGGCCAAGGCTTGAACCCAGTCTGACCACAAGCCGAAGTCCTCCTGGGCACCAGGCACGAGAGGTACCTTCAATCATGTCGCCTTGCAAGTTTCTTTTCGAACGGCGCGTTCCCGTTCCCTTTCTCACGGAGCGAGCCTCCTCGGGACTCAAATGCACCAATCGTCGAGCCTCCGCCCTGAGAGGCGATGGTTGGATGCAAGCTCTTAGCCCAAAATTCGAACAATCCACCGCAATGTGAACTTGTCTAGCAAGAATTGCTAAGAGCCTGGCGTTCGCATGATGCCTGCTCGGTCCTTGGAAAGGCAGTGCTTCCGCAAATGCAAGGGTCAAGTTCAAAACTCAAAGGCTAGAATCAGAAACTGCGAATCGAACAAGTACGTGGACCAAAGAAGGTCGGATTGAACTGGAAAGCATTGATTCACTCTCAGCCATCCAAACCAACCGGCCGAACCATCCATCCCGACCCCCAGCCATCCGAGCCACCCCGACCATCCCAAGAAGTCCATCCCCTACCAACCATCAATTAAGGCACAACATGCAGCCCTCAACGCAAATTCGCCCGTTCTGCAATCTCGACGAAGAGCACTTGTTGTGTATTCTGTCCTGTCATTCCGCTCTTCAGCGCCGCTGCCCGTGCACTCCAGTCACAAGCAGCGTAGCCAAATCACAAAGGATTCTGGGATGTGACATGTCATATCGAAACATGACAAAGAGGTCGGTGCCCTTTTGTCAAGCCGCCCGCACTGGTGGCTTCAGCATGCTCAAGGTGGAGAGCAGACCGCTGCCAACATTCGCCTCTCTGAGACAAGAGACTCTCACACTGCGGCATGTAAAAAGTCACTAGCGGCAGCGCCGATGGCGAGAAGGCCAAATGGTATATCTGCAACCCAATATTTCAGTCAAATATTCGACTGTCACGCGGCTGAGAAAGGCCTTCTCAACACGGATGTAGGAGAAGTTTGGAATTACCTGGGGCACGGCGGCCAACCGTGATCATGTCAACGACACATGGCTCATTTACTGGCGTTTTCCCAACACTCGGCCTCTCCATCTGCAGTTCCTGGCGTTGCTCAAATGCTCAAGGCGTATCTCTCACCCTCACCAAGACTGGCGAAAGCGTTCCGCAGCCTGGAGTGTCTGCAAGCGAAGGTGGCCTGGAGGCTTTCCTGCAAACACTCAGACAGCATGTGATTCTAAAGTCCTTTGTCTCGAAACGGCCAAATGCCTTTGTTCTAAGAGTCGCAACTGTTCAGAAGTGCACGCCAAATGCGTTTCCGCAGCTCCAGCTGGAAAGTCGCAACTTTCAGCACAAGGATAGTAAGCGAGATGTGCTTCCGCAACTCCAGAAAGTCGCAACTTCTCAGTACAAGGGTAGCTTATGAAATGCACTTCCGCAGCTCCGGCTGGAAAGGCTGGAAAGTCGCCACTCTTATCAAATCTCACTGATTTACAAGACACAGTTACGTAAACGTTCGCAAAGCAAAAACCGAAAACTCCATCGCGAATCTTTAAAGGAGGTATTTCAACCAACACCGATGGTCGCCGAATACTAAATTCCTTACAAGGACCTTTAAAACGACTCCCATATCAGACATGGCCATGTGCGATCAATTGCACTGGTCAGCAACCTGGAGCCTGCAAGTCTCAGCCAAGAAACAGTGTGATTTCAACAGGTTCCGTAGCAAGGTGAACATCAAACGGCCTGTGCTTATGAAACCAGTCAAGGTACGGCGGGCTTTTGATGTTTTTGGGCTCCTGAACTGGACATGGGCAGACTGAATCGCCACCCTGAGACAAAATGTGTACCAACTCATCGTGTATTCACCAGCTGCCCCATCCTCTTCGGTTGCTGGCGCACGGCAAGCGCCGCCCCTCCCGAGGAGTGACCCTGGCAATCACGTGCACCATCAATCAATCTCACACTACAGTTTGCGCGCAAAACCCTTCGAAGTGGAGCGCATACCTCTTCAGTTTGCGGGCATTCTTGCACTGCTTCAATATCTTTCTTTTCATCTTCAGGCCCTTGGTACCTTTTTCTCAGCCCCCACAGCTTTCCAGCCAGGGCCTGAGGCAGTGCTGGCTTCGGTGATGTCTGTGTCACAAGAGCCAAGTCCTGGCAAAAAGGACAGGCAACGGCGTGAAAAGTGGCGGGTTCATCTGACAACCAGAACTGAACTGTGCGAAACATGGAACCTAATGCACTGCATGTTAGCAGTTTATTGGGCTGGCTGCTTGTTGTGCTGGCTGCTGAACAACAAGTAGTTACAGGGGGCAGGACCTCCACCATCTTTATGAAGCCGTAGCGCGTAGCTGGCAAAACATAAAGGCAAATTGCGCAAACTGGAACCAAAACAGAGCTACCCAAATAGCCGGTTTGGTTTGGAATCCTTCAAGCCATGCACTTCTCTCCATTGCTCCACTGCTCCGGCTGGCAATCCTGAAGGCCGGCAATGTCAGGCAGTTGCCCGCTGCCGTTGCAAGCAAAAGGATCTGCACCGGCCTCCAGGTGAACTGCTTGCATGCTCAGCAACATCGGCAGATGTAGGCAAGCAAGTATTGCCGGCACTACGCGTATTTGGCAAGCGTGGTCATTCAGCAGTATACGCAATAGCGGAACAACTCAGCTGCCTGTAGCAGCAGCTCTGCGAGGTCTTGAGCAACTTGATCGCTGTAGCTGGCCTTGGTATTTTTGATGGAACTCTCACACGACGGCACAGCCATTGCCTAAAGCCAAGTTCTGCGACCCTTTGCCGTTGGGCCTTGGAAGTCACGATCTCTCGCGCGTCGCGAAAAAAACCTTTTGTCAGCTAGTGGTCAATTGTCAACTGCTGTCCTCACTGCAATGGCCTGCGCGCACGCCAGGCGCGCAGGTTTCCCCTTGGCTGGAAGATCACCCCTGAAGCCAGGCACCAACCAAAGTCTGAACCAAATACCAGTAAGGCCGGCGGAGCCGGGGAGCGGAAGTTTCAAAATAGAAGAACTATAGTTTGGGGCACGCATGCTTTTCACCTCTCTCTCTCTCTCTGTTTCGCTCTTTTCTTTTTCTCTTTCTCTTCTTAAACTAGTAACTACTTTAATTCCCGCAAAGCGCGGTCGTCAAGGTCGTTCTTGCACCTTATTCGCGGGCTTCGCGCAGTTTCTAAGCAAGAACAACATGCTGGCGTTGGCGCTGCTGTCCTGGCTCGCGCACAACAGCTTGCTGCTTTGCCAACCACTGCTTGCTGACATAGTAAGCAGCAGCATGTCTTGCTGCTTCTCAGAGGTGTTGTTTGCTGCGCGTTTGATTTCCAAAGGTGTTCTCTTTAAAAGCGCGCAAACTTACCTGGCTAGTGTGGGCAGAGATCCTGCCACTCGCTCTCAAAGGGTTGAGCAGTTCACTGAACTCTGAGGCCTGACGCCGTAGGAGTCTCCAATCGAGCAATCCATGGCAGAACTTCTTATAAGCTCTTTCTCCTTCTCTTTGTCTGTCTGCCTCTCGCCCTCTCTCCCTTTCTCTTTCTTTTTCTCTCCCTCTCTCTCTCACTTTCTTTCTTTCTCTCTTTCTCTCTTTCTCTCACTTTCTCTCTTTCTCTCTTTCTCTCACATTCTTTCTTTCTCTCTTTCTCTCTCTCTCTCTCTCTCTCTCTGTCTCTCTGCCTCTCTCTCCTTCTCTTCTTGTTGTCCTGCTCTTTCGCTTTTTTTAAAGAGCAGGGGATGTTGTGGGGGCCTGTGTTTTCCAGCGTGGGTCATCAAGTGCGAAAGTGGCACAACCTTCCTGCTGGCAAAAGCGCAACTGTTCTTTCTCTTCATCTGGTGGTGTGTAAGTGCCATACGCGTTCCCCCAAACTCAAAGAATAGCCTGGGCGGGCCTGGTTCCCACGCAAACCAATGCTGATACGGGAGCTGATGTGAACAAAATGAGCTTCTGCATCATCAGAAATTTGTCCTCTAGCTCCTATGCAAACTGGTGGCACGCAGTAGCTGTTGTGGGAGGAGGTAAGAGAATTGCGTGTCACACTTACACCCTCCATAGGTCATCAAACATGTTCTGAAAAGTTTGTGGCCAAGTGAGAACCTTGCGTTCATTAACAAATAGAAATATCAAACGCTGCAATGCTCTGAGCTACATGGAAAACACGGATTTCGCACAAACAACACAAGTCGCACTGAAAAGCCATCGCCTCCCTTTATCTTTCCCAATATCTTCCCCCTCTCTCTCTCTCTCTGTCTCTCTTCTTCCCCCCCTCATCCTTCCTCCGTCCCTTTCCCTTTCTCTTTCACTTATTCTTTCTCTTTCTCTTTCTTTTTTCCTGTGTCTTTCTTTGTCTCTTTCTCTTTCTCTGTCTCTTTTTCTTTCTCTTTCTCTTTCTCCTTCTCTTTCTCTTTCTCTGTTTTGCTTTCGCTTTCTCTTTCTCCCTCGCTCTTTCTCTTTTGTTTCTCTTTCTCTTTCTTGCTCGTTCTCTTTATCTTCCTCTTCCTCTGCTTCTTTCTCTTTCTCTTGTTCTTTCTCTGTCTCTTCTTCTTTCTCTTTATCTTTATCTTTCTCTTTCTCTTTATTTCTCTCTTGTTCTGTTTATTTCTCTCTCTTCCTCTCTCTATTTCTCTTTCTCCCTCTCTCCTTCTTTCCTTCCCTCTCGCTCTCTCTCTCTCTCTCTCTCTTACTCTTTCTCTTCCTCGGTATCTTCCTCTGCTTCTTTCTTTTTCTGTTTCTCTCTCTTTCTCTTTCTCTTTCTCTTTCTCTTTCTGATTCTCTTTTTCTCTTTCTCTTTCTCTTTCTCTTTCTCTTTTCTCTCTCACTTTCTCTCACTCTCTCTCTCTCTCTCCCCCTCCCAAAAGTGAAAGCACACAAACAAAGAAAATTCACAAGTGTTCAAGGTCAACCCACCGAAAGTCTGCAAAGGCTTTACCTGTTGATGGCTGCGCAAGCTGAAAACGGAACAAGGGTCACCTTTTGAGGGGTGCGAAACAGCAGGCGCGGCCGTGCCAACGGCCCGTCGCGGCACCCGCTCCGAACAAGCTCTGAGACAGCTGTCGCGACCAAGCCACGTTGTCGGCCCGAGTCTATTCCCCCCAGTTCTCGCAGCTTTTTCGCAGCTTTTTTGTAGCTTTTTCGTCTACTCTTCAAGATCACACGCCGGTGCATGCATTCCTAGAGAGAGAGAGAGAGAGCTAGCTCAATTGGTTCCAATACTACAAAGTTCTTGGCAAGCTTCCTTTGACAATGTGGGACGCAGTTGCGGAGAAACCACACGGAAGCAGCCACACCTCGCACAACTGGACAACCTGGAACAACGCTTGTGCCAGTTCCCCACAATTGCAAGCGGCACAAATATTCCAAAATGAGTCGCAAATGCCTGATGCCGAAGGCATTGTGCACGACGTGACGCTCCAAGCCTAGGATGATCCTGGCCATCCAGAATCCGGCCGAAGCGCCTAAGGTCTTAAACTCCAGCTAGTGCGTGCGGCAAGTCTGCCTTCATCTGAAAACTGGGCGGGGCAATGCTTCACATGTTGTCTTTCTCCCTAAATACCCAGCAAGAATGTTTCTGGGCCGAGCAGGATGGCCTGTCAGTCACTTAGTCGCTCCCTTAGGCCTCCAAAACCAGGTAAGGCTTTGCCACGCCAGAGACAAAACAGAAGCAATGCATTGGCGTGAAGACTGCCCAAACTTTCCTCGTTGTCAGCCCCTTGCCTTTTGGCAGCCGCTTGGCAACCCGACTGCTGCCCAGTGTAGCGGCCCGTTGCCCCGTATGTCCAAGCGCTCAAGGCAGCAGCGGGCACGCACTAGACACCTGCAGGGACACCCAGGCTAGTTCTGTTCTTGAGTGTTCCATCCTCAGTTGTCACGACACTGGCCAGTCACCATTCTGATAGAGGAAGCAAGGCAGTCTTGTCTGTTCAACGATGGCACTCGATCCAAGTTGCAGTCGCCGAGTGGGCACACTTGTACAGCAAGGTGTTTGATTTCAAGCACAACTGCTGCTTCTGCAAAGGCTTAAAAAAGCAAGGCACGGTTCCATGCTTCTGAGCTGCAAACACAAGACTTAGAATTCACATGACTGTGACACTTAGTCATTGCATCAAGTTTCCTGTGTTGATATAGCTGCTAAGGGCGGGAGAGCAGCACGTTTGTTTACACAGAGGCCGTGTCGAATCGGCTTCCCGCTCGGCCATGGAGTTTTGACTTCGGAGTCCCGCCAGAGAGAGAGAGAGAGAGGGAGAGAGAGGGAGAGAGAGAGAGAGAGTGTGTGTGTTGACATCGCATTCCATATGAGTCGCCCCTCTTTATCTTCGGCCAAAATAACTGCAAACCTGCAGATTCTTATCGTCACTGTTCATGGAAATCGGAAATCACACACTCTCCAAACACGTTCATGTCTCTTTATTTCTTGGTTGGACCGCCAGGTGTAATCTGGGTATTTCTTGCATTTGGGGTACGTTACATCGGTATGGTCTCAATTTATGCGAAGCAAATCTACCTAGTCTTGCATGGCACATGATTGGCTGGACAACTACTACGAGCTCTCATCTGCAAACCCACCCCCGAGCGGTTTCTGCCTTGCAGACTCGACGTGGCCCCTGCCAACAATGGGCGGCTTCCCAGAAATCCTCAAGCTAGATTCCCAGCCCTTTGCCCTTCAATTCAAGATGGCTCTGGCCGTCACACTCAGACTGTTGTGGCCCCAGGCAAAAAGACAACAGAATGGTCTGGGAGCCTGAGTCTGAGCGGTATGCAGCCCATGCCTCAAGCAAGCAATGCCCAGTGCTGGTAGACCACATTTGGCGGCAGCGTCTACGGCCTCTCACATGCGATTCAGCCGATGCAGGACAAACCAACACCAAACAGATCTAAATTGGCGAGGTTTTTGGCACACAGAGAAACGATCAAGGTGGGCAGCTTCATGCTGCACATGCAACATGTGTAACAGTCACGTGCAATCATGTCACGTCTGTCTTGAGACCCATCATGCTGTGTTCGAAGCACATCAGCAAGAATGCATTCTTGAGAACAACTACCAATCAGGCTGGCTAGCAGCAGTGCCTAAGTGGCAAGCCCAGAATCCGTTGCGTGCTCTCCAGTTGGATCACGACCGTCCCATGAGCATGATTCATGTAGATGCCCAATGCCCAAGATCTCCGTTCCGTTTCCGACGTTCCGCCTCTGGCGCCTCTTTGGCCAGGAAGGCCATGACCTTCTCCTCATTCCGGATCCGAGCGTGACTGACGGCTTCAAGTTCGGAGGTTGGAATTTCACAGCATGGCTTCGAACAGTTTGACGGTGTGAGGACTGGCTCTAGCCTCAAATTGAAGATGCAATCTGCAACGAAGTACACTGAAAGGGTCCATCTGGATTTTACACGCTGCCAAAGGCAACAAAACAATCTGAGATGAAGGCCACCATTCAGCTATTGCAGGCATTGAGGAAATCCAAGGCTCACGTTCTCACCAGAAATACAATGTACAAGCACTTATTCAACTCATTGAGTCTACCTATCAGTGAAGAGCCACCCGCAGGATTGTGCCACAGAAAGGTTGGAAATACTTCAAAGGTGGCAGAAGGACACTAACAATAGCTCCCCATGTCACAACTGTGTAGTGCTGACTGTGGCGCTCCCAAATCTTGTCGTCAGCATCAATGTGTAGCGCCCATCATGCTCACAGCAATCCCACTCAGAGTAAATCGACGCAGCAGCGCAGGTGGGAACGAATCCTGCCGTGCTTTTCTGTCGGCAAGCACACGCGAGCATGCAATTGGACACTGGTGCCCATTGCGGCTCGGAAAGGCTTCTCAGCTCCAATGATGCCTGCGTAGCAAGATCTTGCAGGGCTCTTTGAATTGGCACAGCGCCTTCACCCTGCGGAGCTTAAATGGGTCTATGTACAACTGCAAAGCTTGCACCAATGTGTGAAGGCTCTGAATGCTGCCCTCTCCCAGATCAAAATTGAACAAGCAAGAAGCGTGCAATGTCAAGTTATGGAACACAAAATCCTTGGCTGCGTCACACACACACACAGAACTTCTACAGGGAGACGCATGCAGCTTGATGTTCACACTCGGAGGCACGCAAGGCTTCACATCATGGTATCCAAACCACCCGCCCATCAATGGTGTTTCCCTGGATCAGCTCCGAAATGATTGTTTGGATTCCATAAGTGCTGCATTCCGGGTTCAGTCAGGTCCTGCAAGCGCTGAGTGGTCACCTGGAAAGGCAGTCCCACCTCCACCATTCAGGATGCATTGGCAGTTTTTGCATCACTTTCCATGAAGAGCCAAGGGCCGGGAGCAGTTCAAACAGCAGACTGCAACGTCCCTATTCTCCAGAGTGGCCTTTCAACTTCCTGCAATGCACGTGTTTCCTTCTTGGCCTTGCGAGACCCGTTTCGCCCCAAGACTTCCCGCATGCGCCTTTCATCCAAGTTCAGCAGCGCCCGCGCTTGCCTGCTACTTCCAGAAGGCATGTTTGCAGAAGGGAACACAGAAAATTGAGGCCAAACACACATGTACTGCAAACAGCTTGGCAGTGCAAGCAAAACCGTGTATTGGAGTATTGCTTGTCCGGTGAGGTTTGCATACCCCCGTCTTTGTCAAGAGAATGAGTCTTTACCTTGCGGTATGTCCAATTGATCGGCATCGCTATGTGACAGTACAACAAGGGCTGCAATGTCAGCTGCACAATCCACGCGGCCAACTCAGTCTCTGAAAATGCCCTGAGAAAACAAAGTGAGTGACAACTCACTCCTCCAAGAAGTCCAATGGATTGATTTCCATGCAAAAAGATGGCTGTTGAAGCAAAGAAAACTTGCCTCGGCCCTGCAATCGCCAGTTGCCGCTGGTATCGGCGCGCGGCGCAGCAGTAGCCCGAGGTGCAAAGGGAAATAGGGGCTAGCACAAACTCGATCACGAAGGACAAGGTCCTTTGTCCCTGGGCGAATGGCAGCAGTCAAGAGGGAAGCGGGCCGCATATTTAGCTCTGAGGAATCATGCTCAAGTGTGGCAACCAAAAGCTCAGGGGCGCCGGTCACTCAACACAAACAACACTTCATCTTTCACGGGGCTTCTTTTGCTGCCTGTTGGTGTTGGAAACCGGCGCCTGTCTTGGGGACACAGCGCATCGAGGCCCTGGCAGGAATGAGCTCGTACCAAACGCGCTGGCTACCTGGACCGTCTACTTGCATTGCCCCTCTAAAGCCTGACCTTGCTTACCCAGGGTTGCTATTGATGAGTTTGGCCCTGACGTTAAGACTGGCATCCGAGAAACATATGGGCGCTTGTTCTAGCATTGCTTACCGCCCTGAAAGAAGTCCTTTCAGGGGGTCATAAGTTCGACCCAAAAACGAAACCCGTACCGCTGGTTACAATTCTAGGCTGCGCCAAGAATCACCAGCTGAAGGCAATGTATTGCATGCAAGTATGCTGAAACGGTGCAAACTACAACCAACGGTTCCAGAAGGCCATCTACAGCTTCATCCGCTCCTGGCTGCTGCGGAGGTGGCGTTGTTGAGCCGGAAGAACACTGTCCCAAGTGGCACTTGGTACTTGCCTCAGCGCTGAGATTGCAGCAATGAAGCCCGTAAATCGATGAGGACTGGCCAAGGTTTTGGAAACCAATACTGGTGTTATCGGCATGACCATGTGGGGTTTCATGGCAAATTACTTCCCCCCACCAAGATCGTACTTCAGGCCTCTGCGAAGCGTATGTGAGAAAAATTAGACTAACATAGACCCCAGATAGCAAAGATGTGCTCTCAGCCAACGAAGTGTGGGAGCACTGGACTGACGTTGGCAGTGCTTCCCTTGGCTGCAGAATGAGGCATCTCCAGACGGGAGTCCAACAGCACATCAGCAGTATACCGCACAAGTCTCACAGAAAAAAACAGAGGGCTACACTTGCTCGGGACCAACAGTCATTCGCATCAGAGAATTGTGTGCGGCAAAAACGCGCAACTGTATTTTCCTGTAACAAAGCAGCAGCTACAAAGCACACCCAGGACCTGTCCCTGAGAAGGCATATTGCTACGTTTTACGAACGAGCATCAGGCAAATCTACAGCCAAAATACGCAGCACCCCCCGGCAACAAAGCAGCAGCCACAGAGCACACCAAGGATTTGTCAAAAAACATAATGCTACAATTTCACGAATGAACATCAGACACGTCCACACAGACATTCAATACGCAACAGCACTCTCCGCCAACAAAACAGCGGCAAAGAATACCACCTGCAAAAACAAAACGCTACACCTTAAGCAGAACAAGCAGGGACGAACGAGTGTCAGGCAATCCTACCGCCAAAGTAAGCAACAGCATTTTACGTTTCCGCAACAATCAGCAGCATACCGCAGCAGTCTCCATCCAAACGCATAGCACTACATGCTACGCAGAACAAGCAAAACGAATAAGCACCAGGCAAGCCTACTGCTAAAATACAGAACAGCACTTTGCCTGCAACAAGCAGCGCCAACACAGCGTTGCTTCTGCAGGGCCCTGCCACTGGCCCAGACGCAAAAGGGCGACGGGCCCTTTGCAAAACGCTGCGGCATGCTCTCGCAGGTTTTGTTGCGGGGCACGCTGCTGCTGGGCGCTGATACAGCGCGCTTGCGCGCATAAAAGGGTTGCACAGGTCGCCATGGCGGCGTTCCGCCGCAGCTCGTCGCAGGAAAAACGTGTCGTGCGCGATGTTTTGCTTTTGGGGCTTGCAGGGCAGCTTGGCCTGCGAGATGCCCACAACCGTGAGGGCACGCACCGCGTCAAACGCCTCTCTGCAACAGCACCCTGCAAAAGCACCTTGCAAGAGCCCTTCACACCATCTTCCAGGCGGCACATTCAGCAAATCCACCAAGACTCCGCCCGGTGCAAAGTAATAGGCTTGGACAAGTGTCTGAGTGCGAGTCACGGCCTCCAGCAGCAGGACTCTGCGCAAGTCTGAGTCACAGCCTGCAGCAGCACCCTGCAGCAGCACCCTGCAACAGCACCCTGCAACAGCACACTGCAACAGCACCTGGCCACCCACCCCTTATTTACTAGAGCGGCAATGAAGAAGGGCAACGAAGAAGGGCAATGAACAAGAGCAATGAAGAGAATGTGGCCGGCAATGAAGAAGAGACTTGAAGTTAGAACCTCGGATTGCTCTCAGCAATTGGGAAACTTCCAGGAGCAATCCAAATAGAAGAATTCTGCACTCCCTCTCCCTCTTTGCTCCAACACCTGTGTGCATGGCTGGGCAATCTGCCCAAAACAAAACTCCCATGTCCCCGGCTTCATGTACAGCACTAGGGCCAACACATTGCAGCAGGTGGTCCCGCACAGTTTACTTCCTGCAGTGCAGCAATCGTAGGTGCACTTCTTGACCTGTGCACGGGTCAGCTTCCACGACGGGCACTACCTTTAAACCTGTAAACTGTCAACCGACGTATGGCATGAGAAAGCAAAACAAGCATCTGATCCTTTTCAGCCCTTGCCTCCTGGCAAATTGCCGGCGAGGCTGCGAAGAGAATGCTTGCCGTCGCTGGGCAACAGCACGACGTTGCATCCTGGACTCTTCTTTGCTTCACAAGGCAAAAGCAAGCTCTCCACACAGCACGGTTCCATGTTCATCCATTCATCCGAAGAAAGAACCCCTGCTTTCAGCTTTACAGGAAACACTCTGTCAGTCCTCCCGATTCTTGACCCCCTTGCTCGTGGATGTGTTGCCACACTTGTACCCATCAGCACATTCGCATGGTTGCGCCGTGCCTCGGCAAAGGGAGCTGTCACTGACTGATGTCTTCGCATGAGTGAAGACAGCAATGCTTTGCATCAGAGCAGTATATCAAGCTAAGGTTCTGGTGCATTCCACATGCTGCGCAATATCCTCTGCGGCACCAGCCACGAGGCATCCCGCCAGCAACGGCACCAGCGCAGTTGGCGAAGGCATGGCTTCCACCAGACCGAGCCGAAACAATTAGCTTCGCAGCGCCGGCTCACGCATGCTTCACGGTCGCAATCTTGAAGGTCGCACGTGCAATGCCCCCCGCTCCTGGCCATGAGCTGCTGCAGAGTGCCAAGCCGTCCAGCCGCACAGCCTCTCGTTGTACGCGGGCTTTTGCCGCAAGATCTCCTTCGCAGATCAATCAGCAGGCAACGCTGGGAACATGCGGTCTGTGCACTTCCATCCCTTGATAGATTCAGATAGCTTAAGCCAGGGAAATATTATATATATATACATATATATATATATATATGTATCTGTATATATATATCTATATATTATACGTCAAAGCCCTTGGGGCAATAACAATGTGGCTCCAATATCTGTGCAAAAGACAGATGGTTGATTCAGATTGGCGCAGCACTGCAACGGTATTACGTGGAAGCGCCTTCTCGTTGCAGTCAGTCAATAGCCCCAGCAGTGCCCCATTTCTTTCCGTGTTGGCTTGGTCCCAGGTGGGCCCCTGGTCCTGCAACGTGCGCAGCTCGCCCCAGGCAGCAGCTCGAAGCATCTCTTCATGTTGGCAAGCCTGGCAAGACAATGCTGACTGACCCAGACTGCTCACGTCGCCGAATGACGAAAAGAGTCATCTTGTCCAACCTGTGACAAGAAGACAGTTTGCACATTAATGTTGAGACCCGCCCGTAAAACAATAGTTGAGAGATATCATGGACAGGTTGGTGCTGCTTCTGTGGTTCTGATGAGTTGGCTGCTGCCGCGTACACACCTCTCTTGCTACAAGTCTTCCTAGCCAGGTCATCGCGTCTCATTCTTCCATGGTGGACTGGTGTCTTGCACTGGTGCTTTTGGCTAAGAAAGCTGACACAAAGCCCACAGTTCTAGCACAAATGCAACAACACAAAGTTGGGTGCCCACAGACTGGGCGCCCGCAAAGATCTCCTCAACCCAGGCCTGAGCCTCCCCTCTTGGCATCGTAGCGTCATTGGCAAGCACTGCAGCCACCTAGGAAGGCGACAAAACTGCGGAACTCTCAAAACTGCGGAACTCTCATTCGCAGAAGCAAAGCGAAGACTTTGGGCAGCGTGAGACGCGCTGCGTAACTAGGCACCACCAGTGTCACTCCCCCTGTCCCAACGGTTGCCTTGTGCATCTCCTCCACAAGCCGCGAACGAAGAAGCTGCCGCTCCTCCGTATCCGTGCTCACATCCCAGGGTGCGTTCAACAGCAACTGATTCTTCGATGTGGCGCACTTACATGAGTTTGTGTGATGCTGCTGGTTGTTCTTTTCACTGCACCGCTCTCTGTATGCTGGTGGGACCAGAGTGGACGACAGCAGGTGTGGTGCTCCGCCCCTGCTGCCTTTTGCGGTATCTCTATAGAATTGCTTACAAGTTCTGCTTGGTCATTGGCGATTGCGAGAGCTGCCCGTGGGAAAGAAGTTGACGTGATGCTGCTGCATTCAAAGAATTAACAGAAAGACAGAACTGCTAAACGGGAACGTTTGTAACAATTATAGAGGCATCCAGCAGTTGGACCTGCGTGCAAATATCCTCAGCAAAACTTCAGTCACAAACATGCAGGCCCAAGCCCAGGCAACCTGGAACACAACTAACTTATGAATAGATCGGGGGTTGCCAACATTAACAGCACGTAAACGAGCAGCAACACCTGACGCTGCTCTTCTGTCATCACCAAGACGCTCAGAGCGTCGCGCTGCACAAACAATCTGCAATTGGTCCCAAAGAAGACCAACATGCAACACAATTCCGGCGACTTCAGCAATTTGGAAGAGGTGGCTCGTGAGTGCAGGTTGAGACAAACAACACTGTGCAGCGTTTGTGCGATTCAACGCAAAACGTGTAGGCACCTGTGAGAAGGAAGCGCTTCTCGTCTCGTGGTTGGGCAAGGGTGGCCTGAAAGCGTGGCCTAACCGTCATTCCGGATTGTTTGTGGAATGCACATGCGCTATGAGTTCGTGCTTCCTGTCTTTGCGACATGTTTGAAGGCTCCCGATGGTCTCTTGAGCTCACTCATCGGGGCCACCGAAAGGCTCTCCGCGTTGCAAAGTTGCCAAAGTCTCCGCTTGCCGAACTGGCCGAACTGGCCGGGTGCCCGCGCGGAGGGCGCCTCTGCATTTGCGCAGCCGAGAGTGCGGCAGCGGGAGCCGACGCCTGAACCTGGGCGACACGAAACGGCTTTGGAATCTTGTGACATCTTGTGACCTTCAATGCCTCAGAATGAAGTATAAAAAGGGTGTCATGCCCCTCGCCAAACCTTTTGTTCCGGCACTTCTGGACATGATTGTAAGCCGCCAATTCTACCTGAAGGATACCTCTCCTGAGGCTATGGGCAGCTTCCTCCTCCCTCCTCTATGCCCCCAATCAAACTGCTTGCACAGACTATTGACTCCGGCCTCCAGCTAAAACTTCCACCAAGTTGTCAGACCATTCAGCGAGCTGAAGCCATCGAACCGACACCGAATGCGGAGTTGAGCACCACACGGCGGATTCCAGCAGGCCGGGGGTTGAGTCCTCGGAGAATGTGCTGCACGGTACGGAGAATGTGGGTGACGTTGACGGTGCAGACGGTACAGAGAGCAGGCGTGCACACAAAGTCGCAAAGTCGCAAAGTGCTTCGCACTGTGCATGCATGAGCCCCGTGCCTGGCTATACCTCTCCAGGTATACCTGCACATGCATTGAATAGCCAGCCCTCATATTTACAATTTGCTCACCGTGTGAAAAAAATGCAGACAAGGACAAACTCAGTTTGTATCTTATCTTAGCTATTCATCTGCCTCGTACTTCTTGAGCAACTCAGCCAGTTGTGCCTGCAAGCTTGCACAAAGGAGGAAGAGCTGGGTAAAAGAATTCAGCACAGACCCTACAATTTAGCTAAGGAATGACGACTGAAGGCATGTTGGGTCCAGTCGAGTTTACAGCAGCGGTATGTTTGCTCGTCTCGGGCATCTTCAAATGTGTCAGCGTTGTATGCATCATTCGAGATTGTCTCGCTTTTGTACTTGGCGCACCACAATTGGCTGGACTGCCCATTCCAGCCCAAGGTTGTGCCACAGGCTTCTTCCTGGGTCTCCCTACGGATCCCCTTAATTTCTTCATGTCTTCATCGTACCATGTGATTTGTCTTAACTCTTGTATTCCGTTGGTTCTTAACAAGTCAATCGGGGCCCGGCTAGCCTGGCCGGCCCGTGACTAGGGCGCGGTTGACTAGGTTCCAACAAGGGCATGGCTGACCGAGGCCCAGCTGACCAGAGCCACGGGCCGGCTGACCACCGCCCCGGCTCGAAAGCCAGTCATGACAAGCATCCGGCTAACATCCATTTGTTGAGCCTTCTCTGTGAGTGCTGCGGCACCTCTTCATTTTCCTGTGAATGGTTGCAATGGACTAATCCTTTTTCGCCCATTGAATCCATGCCGAAGCAGGGCACTGTGCGCCTTGCCCACCTCGGTGAGCCCCAACTGCCGCAACTCTGGCGCAAGCTCCGCGGCTAACCGCCTAGCAAGACGGGGAAGCCTGGGGAAGGCCAAAGCCTCGAAATCACTTGGGGCCCGTTGCGGGCCATTGCCCCAACTTTGCATGGAGCGTTGAGGTGCTTGACTGGGCAAGAACATCCTCATGATCTCATGTTGGCTCCAAGGACAATGCAACAATGCAGCCCATTCCTGAATGCGAACCTCACTCACCCCCACCTTGATGGACCACCTCGAGAGTCTATGTTGACCCGAACCTCAGATGCTGTACATGGGAAGCCTCAAACATTGAAGTGTAAATCTGGAGCTCTGAGCCCAGTCTTCGGGGCCGTCTCGGTCCTCTCGGTCCTCTGAGGCTGCGGGCCATGAAGTCCAGCACGCTCCGCAGGTCTGCCCCCAGCGCCAGCAGCTTCTCGTCCTGAGAGCGCGCCGAGCTCGGCCTTGACTGACGAATTGCCAGAACGGACTTTCTGACTTTCTGACTTTCTGACTTTCTGACTTTCTGACTTTCTTGCAGTTCGGAGAAGGTCCCCCAATTGAATTTGTGAGCAATAGACAATAGAGGCCAACTGGCAACTGGTGCGGCGACTTCTCAACAGCAAGGCGCTCGTGCCGCAAGCTCGCCCCAATCACCCACGCATAACCCCAGGTGACATAACCGTCTGCACCTCTGGCACGTTGCACTTGGCAGGAAGCTCTCCTGCGCTTTTGCATCCTGGCGCATCAGCTCGATGCGCCGCTGCTGCTCCTTTAAGACCTGGCAAGCGGCAACCGTGACTAAAACGAAAGCCTTGCAAGTGAAAACCTGGGCTCTGGAAACCAGGCAAACAACGCGTGTCCAGGTTCATGCACGTGGAGACGGAAAACCTTTTTCTGCTTGCTCCGCACAGGAATGGTTTGACCGAGCTGGCTCGCCTCTGCTGCGACCTCCTCTGAGACGTGCCCGCGCGAGCGCCTGTCAATATCAAGAAATTTCACAGATTGGGGGGAAACTGAACATCATGCCAAATTGACGAAGCTACCCGACAGGGGGCTCCGAGCAGCTGAGGGCAAAACAAAACCATGTGCGCAGTTTGGAAAGCTCCAATTTGCCAGCCGCACAACTTGAGCTTGACCTTCAGAAATGAAGTTGGCAACGACAGGTCTTGCCAGTAGTCACAACAAAGGCTCCCTGAATGCAACCGTAGACAAACGGCCTCAACGCCGCAAGATCCTCTTCGCTTTCCTCTCGGCTTGCAATTCACAGGACGCATTCCCAAGGCACCTGACTTAGACATATATAATGCCGAAAAGCACTCGCATGCAAGCGCACAGCCGCAAATCTCAGTTTTGAGATGGATGCATCAGCCCGATTGATCATTTCATTTCGTGCACCCTCTCGATTGCCTCCGTGACAGCTGGAAGCGTCCATCGACCGACACACGGAGTCCTTGGCAAGCTGCACAGCAACCTCGTGGCTCTTGCGTCTACTCTCATACCTTGGCAACTTGGCAGAGCTGCCAGCAGAGCGTCAGAGTATGGGTCAGTTGAATCTCGAGTTGCTGATTTTGTTGGACCTGCAATACCTCTGCTTAGATCAAATGTTGTAATTTCAATTTAATGGTGGACATGAAAGTGATCGCGGCAAAGTATTGCTACATAGCAGTGGATGCCGCCGACCCAGGGCGCGCACAAACGGTGGCCGCGTCCAAGGAAGTCCTCTGCCCGCATGGCAGCCTTGCAGGCGTTGATGGCACCGCAGTGATGGCCAATCAAGTTTGCTGAGGGAACATCATGTTGAGGCCCGCCGAATCGATCCAACAGGAATGCTTCCTGGATGCATACTGCACATACATACAGTCACGGGCATGCCAGTTCTCGCCAGAAGTGTCGATTCACATTCTAACATGGCGCTTAAACCCAGCAAGCAAAGCTGCTGTCGTTGGAATCCATGGGTCATGCTCAAGTGGCTCAAGTGAAGCCCATCGGGCCGAAGATCATTTCGCAACAATCCGGGTGTGGAATGTGCTACCCCCAGGACAACTCGAAGCACACGAAATCAATCGCAAATCATGTGCTCTAAATTGCATGTGTCATCCAAAATCAAAACCCACAAATTTAAAGTGAATCATACAAATGCATGCACAAATCACCTCCCGGCAATTGCCAGGCTACGTGGTTGTCATCACAGGCCAATGAAGCAAGTACTCCCAGCTTGCTCACTTCATGCACCCAATCACGTCCGACCGCAACTTCGAACCCACTTGCTCCGCCGCCGCATCATCTAACTTGCAAAACACCCACGGATGTGCACTTTGCATCACAGGCCAATCAAGCAAGCATTCCCAGCTTGCTCACTTCATGCACACAATCACGTCCGACCGCATCTTCAACCACACATACTCCGCTGAAACATCACCCCAAGTTCCAGAACACACGCTCATGTTCACTTTGCACCATGATCCTCAGACGTCTTGGAAAGTTCACGTCCTGGCAATTGCTGGGCCACTCGAACAAAGTAGGTAAGGTTGATTTGGTTGTCATCACGGGCCAATCAAGCAATCATTCGCAGCTTGCTCACTTCATGCACTCAATCACGTCCAACCGCATCTTCAACCCCACTTGCTCCGCCGCCGCATCACCCCAACTTGACAAACACCTGCGCGTGAGCACTTTGAATCACAATCCTCAGACGTCTTGCAGAGTTCACGTCCTGGCAATTGCCAGGCCACTCGGCAAAAAGTAGGTACGGTTGATTTGGTTGTCATCAGAGGCCAATCAAGCAGGCATTCCTAGCTTGCTCAATTCATGCACACAATCACGTCAAACCGCATCTTCAACCCCGCTTACTCCGCCGGAACATCACTCCAACTTGACAAACACCTGCGCATGTGCACGTTGCATCACAAACCTCAGACGTCTTGGAGAGTTCACGTCCTGGCAATTGCCAGGCCACTCGGCAAAAAGTAGGTAAGGTTGATTTGGTTGTCATCACAGGCCAATCAAGCAAGCATTCCCAGCTTGCTCACTTCATGCAAACAATCACGTCCGACCGCATCTTCAACCACACATACTCCGCTGAAACATCACCCCAAGTTCCAGAACACACGCTCATGTTCCCTTTGCACCATGATCCTCAGACGCTCTTGGAAAGTTCACGTCCTGGCAATGGCCAGGACACTCGAACAAAGTAGGTAAGGTTGATTTGGTTGTCATCACAGGCCAATCAAGTAAGCATTCCCAGCTTGCTCATTCCATGCACACAATCACATCCAACCGCATCTTCAAGCCCACTTGGTACACCGCCACATCACCCCAACTTGACAAACACCTGCGCATGTGCACTTTGCATCACAATCCTCAGACGTCCTGGCAATTGCCAGGCCACTCGGCAAAAAGTAGGTAAGGTTGATTTGGTTGTCATCACAGGCCAATCAAGCAAGCATTCCCAGCTTGCTCACTTCATGCACACAATCACGTCCGACCGCATCTTCAACCACACATACTCCGCTGAAACATCACCCCAAGTTCCAGAACACACGCTCATGTTCCCTTTGCACCATGATCCTCAGACGTCTTGGAAAGTTCACGTCCTGGCAATTGCCAGGCCACTCGGCAAAAAGTAGGTAAGGTTGATTTGGTTGTCATCACAGGCCAATCAAGCAAGCATTCCCAGCTTGCTCAATTCATGCACACAATCATGTCCGAACGCAACTTCAAACCCGCTTGCTCCGGCGCCGCATCGCCGAAACATGAAAAACACCTGCGCGTTTGCACTTTGCATCACAATCCTCAGACACCTTGGAGAGTTCACATCCTGGCAATTGATCAAGCAAGCATTCCCAGCTTGCTCGTTGCATGCAGCCAATCACGTCCGACAACATCTTCAAAACCACTTGCTACGCCGCCGCATCACCCCAACTTGCAAAACACCCGAGCATGTGCACTTTGCATGACAATCCTCAGACGTCTTGGAGAGTTCACGTCCTGGCAATTGCCAGGCCACTGGGCAAAAAGTAGGTAAGGTTGATTTGGTTGTCATCACAGGCCAATCAAGCACGCATTCTCAGCTTGCGCACTTCATGCACACAATACCATCCGACCGCATCTTGAAACCCATTTGCTCCGCCGGCACATCGTCCCAACTTGCAAAACACCCGCGCATGTGCACTTTGCATCACAATCCTCAGACGTCTTGGAAAGTTCACGTCCTGGCACAGGCCAATCAAGCAAGCATTCCCAGCTTGCTCATTCCATGCACCCAATAACATCCGACCGCATCTTCAAGCCCACTTGGTACACCGCCGCATCACCCCAACTTGCAAAACACCCGGGCATGTGCACTTTGCATCACAATCATCAGACGTCTTGGAGAGTTCACGTCCTGGCAATTGCCAGGCCACTCGAACAAAGTAGGTAAGGTTGATTTGGTTGTCATCACAGGCCAATCAAGCAAGCATTCCCAGCTTGCTCGTTGCATGCAGCCAATCACGTCCGACAACATCTTCAAAACCACTTGCTATGCCGCCGCATCACCCCAACTTGCAAAACACCCGCGCATGTGCACTTTGCATCACAATCCTCAGACGTCTTCGAAAGTTCACGTCCTTGCAATTGCAAGGCCACTCGGCAAAAAGTAGGTAAGGTTGATTTGGTTGTCATCACAGGCCAATCAAGCAAGCATTCCCAGCTTGCTCAATTCATGCACACAATCACGTCCGAACGCAACTTCAAACCCGCTTGCTCCGGCGCCGCATCACCGAAACATGCAACACACCCGCGCGTTTGCACTTTGCATCACAATCCTCAGACGTCTTGGAGAGTTCACGTCCTGGCAATTGCCGGGCCACTCGAACAAAGTAGGTAAGGTTGATTTGGTTGTCATCACAGGCCAATCAAGCAAGCATTCCCAGCTTGCTCAATTCATGCACACATTCATGTCCGAACGCAACTTCAAACCCACGTGCTCCGCCGGCGCAGCGTCCCAACTTGCAAAACACCTGCGCATGTGCACTTTGCATCACAATCCTCAGACGTCTTGGAGAGTTCACGTCCTGGCAATTGCCAGGCCACTCGAACAAAGTAGGTAAGGTTGATTTGGTTGTCATCACAGGCCAATCAAGCAAGCATTCCCAGCTACCTCACTTCATGCACACAATCACGTCCGACAGAATCTTCAAAACCACTGGCTCGGCCGGCGCAGCATCCCAACTTGACAAAAAACAACAACGCACATGTGCACTTTGCATCACAATCCTCAGACGTCTTCGAAAGTTCACGTCCTTGCAATTGCAAGGCCACTCGGCAAAAAGTAGGTAAGGTTGATTTGGTTGTCATCACAGGCCAATCAAGCAAGCATTCCCAGCTTGCTCAATTCATGCACACAATCACGTCCGAACGCAACTTCAAACCCGCTTGCTCCGGCGCCGCATCACCGAAACATGCAACACACCCGCGCGTTTGCACTTTGCATCACAATCCTCAGACATCTTGGAGAGTTCACGTCCTGGCAATTGCCGGGCCACTCGAACAAAGTAGGTAAGGTTGATTTGGTTGTCATCACAGGCCAATCAAGCAAGCATTCCCAGCTTGCTCAATTCATGCACACATTCATGTCCGACCGCAACTTCAAACCCACGTGCTCCGCCGACGCAGCGTCCCAACTTGCAAAACACCCGCGCATGTGCACTTTGCATCACAATCCTCAGACGTCTTGGAAAGTTCACGTCCTGGCAATGGCCAGGCCACTCGGCAAAAAGTAGGTAAGGTTGATTTGGTTGTCATCACAGGCCAATCAAGCAAGCATTCTGCAATTCTGCAAGGTCAGTTGATGACCACAGTCATGAACACATGCATGCATGGCCACTTGACACCTGGCCCTTTGAGCAGTTCCACAACGCATGGGACCTGTGATGTATCGGCTCCGGAGGGGCCCCTTTTGCCAAGACAGTAGAGTGCTCAGCGAGCATGGCATTCCGGTGGTAAGGACCACCTCACTTGTGTGCGCCTGTTCAAAAGTGAACATCAGCTGCAGTGCGATTGGATCTTGGGTGCATCGCACATTCCCAGCTTGCTCATTCCATGCACCCAATAACATCCGACCGCATCTTCAAGCCCACGTGCTCCACCGCCGCATCACCCCAACTTGCAAAACACCCGGGCATGTGCACTTTGCATGACAATCCTCAGACGTCTTGGAGAGTTCACGTCCTGGCAATTGCCAGGCCACTCGAACAAAGTAGGTAAGGTTGATTTGGTTGTCATCACAGGCCAATCAAGCAAGCATTCCCAGCTTGCTCGTTGCATCCAGCCAATCACGTCCGACAACATCTTCAAAACCACTTGCTATGCCGCCGCATCACCCCAACTTGCAAAACACCCGCGCATGTGCACTTTGCATCACAATCCTCAGACGTCTTGGAAAGTTCACGTCCTGGCAATGGCCAGGCCACTCGGCAAAAAGTAGGTAAGGTTGATTTGGTTGTCATCACAGGCCAATCAAGCAAGCATTCCCAGCTTGCTCAATTCATGCACACAATCACGTCCGAACGCAACTTCAAACCCGCTTGCTCCGGCGCCGCATCACCGAAACATGCAACACACCCGCGCGTTTGCACTTTGCGTCACAATCCTCAGACATCTTGGAGAGTTCACGTCCTGGCAATTGCCGGGCCACTCGAACAAAGTAGGTAAGGTTGATTTGGTTGTCATCACAGGCCAATCAAGCAAGCATTCCC